CTTCCTCTGAATTCTTGTTATATGCTAAAAAAACCCCACTTCTTTGTAGTTATAGGTGCAAATGCTATGCAGAGATTATAAAGACATTATTCTAAACATCTATGTGAAATACTGATTTACACAATGACCAACCCATCTGTTGTTTACATAACCTGCTTTTGTCCACTTAAAAGTACCTCTTGCTTGTTCTTACAGAAGATTTGCAGTTCTGATAAGTGAAGAGAGATATAAAATTTCCAAATAATTAGCTTGTATTGTGAGATGAATTACCGTGAAACTTTAGTTCTCAATGTATATTCTTAGATTGCTGTACCAAAATCCAGGGATTCAGAAGTATAATGAAAACAGCAGTATAAGATCTAAAGTAGGGCTATCAAGCGATTAAAAAAAATTAATCGTGATTAATCGCACAATTAAAAAAATTAATCTCAATTAATTGCACTGTCAAACAATAATAAGACTGCAGCTGACCTTGGGCTCCGTGTTGCTCTGCCCTTTTGAAATGCTATCGCAGCGTTTCAAAGGGGCAGCGTGCCCGGGATCAGCTGTGGGGCGCTGCCCCTTTGAAATGCTGTCACAGAAGCACTGCGAGATCCCAGGATCATCTGGACTCCCCAGCTCATCCCGGGCTCCACATTGCTCTGCCCCTTTGAAATGCCAAAGTGGTGTTTCAAAGTGGCAGCACTGCACAGCTGATCCCAGGCTTTGCTCACACTGCCCCTTTGAAACGCAGAGGTGTTGTTTCAAAGGGGCAGTGCCATAAAGCTGATTCTGGGCTCTGCTCGCACTGCCCCTTTGAAACATAGGGTTGGTGTTTCAAAGGGCCAGTGCTGCACAGAGCCCGGGGTCAGCTGGGGACTCCAGCTGATCCCAGGCTGGTACTGCGGCTGCCCCTTTGAAATGCTCTGGGGGCAGCTCTGGAAGCTTTGCTCCTTCCCCTCCAGTTTTGAAACAGAAACAGGGCCCCTACATTGATCGCAGGTGTTAACGTGTGTTAACTGACAGCCCTAATCTAAAAAGAACCTTAAATGTGTTACCTAGATTTTTCTGTTCCATCACCCTTTCCAGAACAATTTGCTTTGGAAAAGCTATGGTAAAAAGATGGGTCTTATATTTCAGGCTGAAGATGGCAAGATTTGTAGTTATTCTTTTAGTCTCAGAGACTTCCACAGCTATGGGCTGGACCCAAGAATCTGCTGTTTCCAACTCCGTCTAATCTCACTCTTTAGTTATTTGTTTAATTATTCCTGTGGATCATAGCTACCCTGAGAGGACCAGACACATTACCTGAGACTGCAATGAAAATCAATCCCAAGACCTTAAACATAACCCAACATTGAATCAAAAATAATTAATGTAATTTAATGTAAAGAAAGCTTGTTCAATACTGAAATACAAGCCCGTCTGGTTGTAGTCCTGAGCTCCACTTACAGGGTATGTCTAGACTAGATGGCTCTGTCACTAGAGCCATGTAGTTTAGTTTACTAGACATACCCAAATGAAGCGGCAATTTAAATAATCGCCACTTAATTTAAATTAAAAGGGCTGCCACACTGAGCCGATCAGCTGTTTGTCAGCTCAGCGCGCTAGTCTGCACGCTCCGCGGTCAACATGAAAGGCATTTGTCGATTACCCCGTTATACCTCATGGGATGAGGTTTACCGGGGCAGTCGACAAATGCCTTTTATGTCTTGATCCATAGCAAGACAGCTGCACTGTAAAATCCCTAGAGCCGCATTTAACAAAACTACTCCTATTAGAAGTTCATGAGATGCTACCACAATATATATAAATAAATAAATAGGTCTGTCAACTGATTAAAAAAAATCACAGTTAATTGTGCGATTAAAAAATTAATCATGATTAATAGCGTGATTAATTGCACTGTAAAACAGTAATAAGAATACTATATTTAAATAATTTTGGATGTTTTCTACATCTTCTAATATATTGATTTCAATTAACACAATACAAAGTGTATAGTGCTCACTTTATATTTATTTTATTACAAAACATTTACACTAAAAAAAACCCCTTCAGTTCACCTCACTGAAGTATTGTAGTGCAAATTCTATCACGAAAGCTGAACTTAAATTCTTCTATATAGTCAATATATTTGTGTCCTATTCAAAAGAGTCCTTTTTTAGCTCAGCCCCAGCTACTGGCGGCACAGGGCCAGAGAGGGTTAGACTCTGCCATGGGCAGTGCAGAGTTCGGGGGGGCTCAGCCCCCAACTGCAGGTGACACAGGACTCAGGGGTGGGGGTCAGCCTCCAAGCTCAGGAGAGGAGTCAGACCTGACCATGGGCAGTGCAGAGTTCTGGAGAGGGGACTCAGCCCCAGAATCAGATGTTCATGGAGGGTCAGTCCTAACCCCAGGATGGTTTGAGTGACCCCTGCCCGGGGGTGGCAGGGACAGCTTGGGCAAGCCCCAACCCAGGCTGTTTTATTTTAAAAAATATGGTCACTTGGAAGGGAAGAGGGACGGATGTCAGGGTCTTTTTTACTTCTTTTGTTTATTTCTCAGTTGGAGTTGGGACGTCTTCAGTTTTTTTCCTCCTTTCTGGCTGCTTGGTTTTTCCGTGTGCCTTCTGGTGGCAGTTTGCATTACTGCGCCTTACTAGAGACGTAATGGAGAGGTAGCCGTGTTAGTCTGATCTTGCTAAAACAAAAGGAAAAACTATGTAGCACTTTAAAGACTACCAAGATTGTTTAATAGGTGATGAGCTTTCATGGTCCAGACCCACTTCCTCAGATCATATTCTGGAAGAGAATTGGCATGACCATATATACCAAAGGAATACAATGAAAAAAGTGAACACATTATTAAACTGACTAATCAGATTTAGTACAGAAGGTGGGGTGAGAGAGAGGGAGGAAATACCTATCTGTGAGTCAATGAATGACTAATTGGGTGAAAAGTGGGGAAGCTATCTTTGTAATGGGTAAGGTAATTAGCATATTTGTTAAGGTCCATTCGTAAAGAGTCAAATTTAAGCATGAATGAAAGTTCTGAAGTTTCTCACTGTAATCTGGTGTTAAAGTCTCTTTAAAGTAAGAACAAAAAACAGGACTATGTAGTACTTTAAAGACTAACAAGATGGTTTATTAGGTGATGAGCTTTCGTGGGCCAGACCCACTTCCTCAGATGTAAGTAAGATGCATGTAGTAAGGTCGTTAAGACTATGTCCAGGTAGATTGAAATGAAAACCAACTGGTTTTTCCTTGTGAAGATGTCTGATTTGTGGGCATTAATTCTTTGGCAAAGTGTCTGAGAAGTCTGTCCAATATACATAGCAGAAGGACACTGTTGGCACATGATGGCATAAATTATATTTCATCCAGAACTTTCATTCATGCTTAAATTTGACTCTTTACGAATGGACCTTAACAAAGATGCTAATTACCTTACCCATTACAAAGATAGTGGTAAGCGCCTCATGGCCAGAACCTGCACCTCATATCACTTCCTGCACCCTAACTCCCTGCCCCAGGTTAGAACCCCCTCCTACACCACTGCCCTCATTCTTCCAGCCCCCCACCACTCTACACCAGACTGGAGCTCTCTCCTGTATCCAAATTCCCTCCTAGATCTTGCACCACTTTCATTAATATAGTAGAAATGTGTGGCCTATGACAGCTTACTAAAACTAATGGGCTGTGTCTAGACTGGCAAGTTTTTCTGCAAAAGCAGGTGCTTTTGTGGAAAAACTTGCCAGCTGTCTACACTGGCTGCTTGAATTTCTGCAAGAACACTGACTTCCTACTGTCTGAAATTAGTGCTTCTTGGGGAAATATTATGCTGCTCCCGTTCGGGCAAAAGTCCTTTTGCGCAAAGCTTTTGTACAAAAGGGCCAGTGTAGACAGCTCAAATTTGTTTTGCGCAAAAAAGCCTTGATTGCGAAAATGGCGATCGGGGCTTTTTTGCAGAAAAGCGCATCTAGATTGGTATGGATGCTTTTCCGCCAAAAGTGCTTTTGCAGAAAAGCGCCTGTGCCAATCTAGACGCTCTTTCCCGCAAATGCTTTTAATGGAAAACTTTTCCGTTAAAAGCATTTGTGGAAAACCATGCCAGTTTAGACGTGGCCATGGAGAGCTTCTCCTGCGAAAATTATTGCCTACCCCTCCTCTAAATGCTTCTCCTGTGAAAATTATTGCCTACCCCTCCTCTAAAAGGAAGGAGAGACATTGGTTGCTGAAGTGGCAGTTTTAAGATTTCTGAGCAAGGAAACTGCTAGCTCTTAGTTTATATTGTGTTCAGGAAAACAACTTGCTGTATATTTTTTGTAAATATACAAGATTACAGTGTCCCTCCAACCCCACCCAGGACCCTCCCTCTGCCCTCAGCAGGGCTCGCTCTGGCACTACCACGGCTCCGCGCGAGCCCAGTACTCTTACTCTTACCTCCCCCGCCCCCGTCAGGAGGCTGACACCAAACCTTCCCACAAGCTGAAAAAGAAGGAACAGCCCCGCCTCCTCCTACTCCCATAGGCTGGTCGGATGTGTAGCCACGCCCCTCAACGATGGTTTCAGCCAGAATGGACGCG